AGCAAGTAATTGTATTCAAGAATAGGGAGACCTTGTTTCCAAGGGTTATCAAGGAATTGAATTGAACTACAATTTCTAGTTTTGTATGGTATTGACTTTTCTGTTCATCTTGAGCTTTTACGATGAATTATAGGTATATCCTCGGCAGTTCTGATTTTTGATTTATAGGGATGCTTTTCAGACATCATTGCTATAGACCAGATTCTTAGGAATAACTAGAATGCTTTTTGTAGTCGTGATTTCCTGAATGAATTATTTCAGGGAGGAACATATATAACTTGTAGAACTATCTTGGTTTCGACTGTTTGATAATGAACTCGGGATTTTAGGCTCAGAGCCAATCTCGAAGTTAAATTCATGCATATGGTGATTGCATCTCAGTTTTTTCTATTGTACAGTTTCATTCTATCTAGTCCTGCTAACTTTGCAAGTTTGCAACTAGTTTTAGAAGGGATTCAGGTTTTTGTTTTTAATGTCCTTTCTTCGGATAATAGATTTTCTAAAACCCTCTTTAGGTAGCAGAAAAGTTGATGATTATGCATGAAGAATGTTTGGAAGGTAATTATCAGTCTATTGAAAAAATGAGGGCAGCCAGTCGTCCACCAGTTACTCACGTCAGACAGGTAATTTTTGGTTTAAACTCTACTTAAGAGAATTTTGTTGACTAGCTGTTGATGAAGACAATCTCTACCCTTTTATATGTTTCAACTTTTGGCTGTGTTTTCACTACTTGCAATGTGCAATTTTGAGATTGTTAAACAGTAAATGCATATCTGGGAGCTTGTGAATTTTGATTATTACATAGTATACCAAGGCACTGCAAAGCAAAAGATCATGACTTTTCTTTGTTTTTGTTCCCAAAATGTAATGGAGAAGCTAACAGTCTATGAAAACTTGCAGTGGGCAAAAGTTTATAGTTTCAAAATGATTTTGTTTGCCTTAAATTTATGTTTCTTATTTTATATTCCTTCCTTATTCTAGTTTAATGAGGAGGATGAGGATGAGGATGATGATGACGAAAATGACGGCATGGGTGAGGATAATACAACAAACATGATGATAGATTTGCCAAAGTCCCGGCCAATTTCAAATGCAGTTGATACGTCAACTGATTAACCAAAAACCAAGCAAAATGCTGAAGCTGCAGATGATGGTTGGGTAGTAGTTTCTTCTAAACGAAATAAGGGAAGAAAATTTTAGGTTGCCTCTTTAATTACCATATACATTTCCCTCTTGTTTTTCTGAAACGACATGTATTTCGTTTGATATCTATATATTTGTTCCTCCCTTTTGCTAAATACCCTTTCTATTCATCAGTGTTTCCAAGTACTGCTTTGTTAATTTCGTCTCTCTCTGTTCTTTATTAGTTCCCCAGTGCCGCTGTTTTGATTCAAAATGCAATTGGACGTAGAATGTTTTCAAATAATTTTCCAAAACCAAAGCGTTTGTTGGAATAAAAATTAGTAAAGGAGAGGGAAGGGAGGGAAAGGAAAGAAAGGAGAAGCGAAGGAAAGGAAATAATTGATTTTAATTTTGTTTGGATAGATAAAAATAGAGAAGAAGAGATAATATTTTTATTTAATTAAATAATTTTTAAAAGATAAAATAAAATATTTAAAATTTGTTA